GTTGTCGTCTTACACAATCTCCCTATGGTATTACTTTTAACGGAATTTTTTTATTCCATGGAATATTCATCTGAAAATGTCATTTTGGCCCTTGTTGGGTAATTCTAAGCATATTAATTACTTACGGGGCAAAATGTAATATATTTAAAAAGAAAACGTATTACTTTTAATTTTAAAACTATAATGTATGTCTTGAGTTTATAATAATTAAAAATAGAAAATATATAAAAAGGAATTAAACACTAAGAGTTTTTGTTTTGCGTATTTGTTTTGTTTATAATTTTATAATTATTTGTTCAATAAAATCGATTTCACATATTTTGGAAAGATATTCTTGTATTTTTTATTTTAGGTTAAAAATATTTTCATTATTCTTTAATAAACTTCTAATAATATTTCAATTTTAAATAAATACACATTGAAAAAATATATGTTAAATATAAATAAATTATAAAAAAATATTATTTTAATCATCAAAAGTAACACCATAGGGGGGGCTATGTAAGACGACAACATACCTTGAGGGGGTTTTCATACTTAAGCAAATATGTGGGGATTTTATTAATTAGACATATCTTAGAGCGTTTCTCGTAATTTATCATTTATTGTTTTTCAAAGAACAGAAGGGTAAAATGGACAAAATAAATTTTCTGTAAATTTAAACGGTCAAATGCTGGTCAGGAAGGGATTTTGTAATTACATAAACATGAGAGGAATTTTTTTTAATTAGGCTTTACCTCAGGGGTTTTCATAATTTGCCCTAATTATTATAAAGAATACATGCAAAACTTATTTATCAATTATTTGTTATTTTACCCTTTTATGTTGGCTTCTATTTGTTATATATTCATTTCTTGGTGATTGATTCCGCTTAAAATGTTTTGGATGACGTAAGTATTTGTTGACAACAACAAATATAATAACACTTGAGGCTGGACTCAAATTGTAAATTTGGATACAGGTTCTCGAGATTTCAATACTTACAATTTTAATCAACAAATTTGATAAGTTTCCGTTATATTGTTTGGTGAATAATTGAGGATTTGTTAGATTAAATTTTGGAATTAAGGTTTAATTCCAGGTTGCACCCTCGAGATGTAGGTAGTATTTTGGCACTTTGCATCGCCACAAAAAAAATAATATCACGTTCACCCCAACATAAGTTTTATGGTTAATGAAGATAATTTCATGTTTTAGTAGCATTTATAAATGAAAATTTTCTTTTATGTGATAAATATAATTCAAAAATAGAATGTTGATAAATAAATTACAAATTTATTGTATATGTACCACTTTTTCGGAATTGGTAAAAAAAATTGATGATTTTTTTTTGCATGAAACGATATTTTTTATGTAATTTGGTGAAAAATTTGTTGAAGGATGGAAAAGTAAAAATTTTAATACTTTGTACACAGAAAATAAATATCTTTGTATGGGTATAGTCACTGATGGTATTTTGATCTTTGCAATAGTATATATTTTTGTGGTGGAAAGTGTCAAGTTTTAATTGTTTAGTTCTCCCACCATTCAACCATTTTCTCACTAAATTACTTGAAAATTTTCGCAAATTATATATATTTTTTTTTACTAGATCAACCAAACAAATAATTTACTTAGAGAATTTTGCTAAAACAATTGGGCACATGTGCAATGTGAATAATTAGTTATCTTTTGAGAGTGCAGAGTGTTATTATTTTTTTCCGGGGTGCAAAGTGTCAAATGCTTCATTTTGAGTGCCAAATGGAATAACTAAGTAATTTTGGAAAGAGAAAAATGAAACGAAGTTGTAAAATCTTCACAAAATTTCAATTATTTTGGCTGACATATTTACAATTTAGGGTTAACATATACATCACTACAAATATTGTTAATTTACTCATTTTCTTGAGTTACCATTTTAATTTTGTCTTTCTGGATTATGAATATGATCACATGTGGTGGTAATAGTTGTTTGCCTGTGTTACATTATATTACAAAAAAAATTGAAGAAATTTTGTGTAAAAATTAATAACGTCAGTGAAAAGCATTACTACAATGATATTGATGACAAAAAAAAAAAGTTATTTCACTCACTCGAAATTTAGCAGCAAAAAAATAAAAATGAAAAGGAACAAAATGTTAAGGGAAATGGATCAATGAAATCCATGTTCTTACAAACTTTTGAAAACTTTTATTGCATACTATGTGAATGAGAAGTCTTCTTGACCTATAAATCAGGAAATCAGTGTATTTGACTATGTTTCTATTCTAACTCCACATTATTTCGGTGGAGCAGTTGAATAACCACTTTTGTTTCATATCTTCTAAGAATATTCAACTCATTCCCCAAATTGTAAGGTTATTATTAAAATAAAGAGATATATTCACACTTTCACCCCTCAATTGGGATTTTCTTCATCGTTTCACCATTTCGCAATTTAAAGGGGTTTTCAGGTATTGTTGCAAAATTATTGTGATGTAATTTTTGGAGTTCGCTTCGAGATTTGAAAACAAAATTTAAGATACAGAAAATAAAAAATAATTAATGAAATCATGAATAAAAATACAAATAGAAATTATGCGAATCTAAACATGTTATATTATAATATTAAACAAAATTCAATTATAAATACCTTATCTTCTAATAGTCAATGAATTCTATTTTCAAAAAGTAAAATAATGACAATAATCTACTATCTATCCAAGAAAATATGATAGTGTTCCTAGAAGAAGTTGCAAGAAAAAACTAATACATATAAGAAGAAACCGGTAAATAACATTTTCCAAAAATGATCGATGTGAAGAAAAAAATATGATAGTGTTCCAAGAAGAACTTGCAAGAAAAAAACTAATACATATAAGAAGAAACGGGTAAATAACATTTTCCAAAGATGATCGATGAGAAAAAAAAAATCAAGATGAAAAAAAAAATATATTAAATGGAATCTTGAATACAAATATAAGTAGAAATTATGAATCTAAATATACTGTAGTATTAGAAGACAAAGTTTGACTAATGAATAATATACATATACTTCAAATAACTTCGATATTTTAATTTGTATTATTGTCTTGATTAAATAATATACCAAAATAAAAACCAATTAAATTGACACAAGACGTGTGCAACGCACGTCCGCCTTCCTAGTAAGAGAAAAAGGGGAGGAAACCCATTTCGAAATTTCTACATCTAAACAACAGCATAACGCTCATTAATAACATGAAAGCAACATCATAACGCTCGAGCAATAACTAAACATGTTCGTTCATCTATAAAATATTTATCAAAATAATCAAATTATGATAATATGAATACAATCGCTATAGATCACGTGAAAATATAATACTTACAATCACTATTGGTAATGGAATTGAAACATACACAAATCACGAAAAACACTCTCTAAATTGAAAAGTCGCTTTCCTGCTCGGATAAACGTGGAACAGTTTTGAGAATTATAATTCCCACTATGACGAAACGGTAATCTAAAATCAAGGAGTGAGATTTGTGGGTCGATTGAGAAGTTGATATATACTAAAACAAATATTACGTGTAATTTATTTTCAACCATAAGATACGGGTAGAATAGAGTAAGGGTATAATGGTGATACTTAATTAGTTTTTGTTCTCTGATAAAAAAAAATAGTTTTTATTAATAAATGACGTTTATGATTTATCTTAAAAATGCGAAATAAATTTGGACAAATTGTAATCGCACTTGTATAATGGGGGAGTTTTGTCAAATTTTTCCTATTCAAAATGTGTTTTCATTTTATTTTTTAAAATATAGAAGGGCAAATTGGTCTTTTGATTCAACGGTATTTTTGGAAATACAAATTTGGTGAGTGTGGTGAGGAGAAAGATGAAGTTTAAATAGCGACCCATATCTCAAATTCATCTCATTTTAAAGGTTTTTTTGGGATTATTAGTGATAACCCCCTCCACTTTTTTTTTTTTTTAAATAAGAATGGATATATACCCTAATTTTCAATATTAGTAGTAGGTCCAACTTTTTTTATATTCCAAATTTATCCCTCTCCACTAGTCAATTCCCACTACCCACTACAAATTACTTGATTCCTTTTTATATTTCTATAAATATTATTTTTTAATTTCTCTTTTTTTATTTATTAAATAATTCAAAAATAATAATTTAAAAAAATTCAAATAAAAAATAAATTTTTAATCTTTTTTTTCAGCTTTTTTCCGTTTTTTTCATAAATCAACTAAAAAATTTCGAAATCAACTATTTTTTAAATATTTTAATTAATTTTGAATATTTTTTTATTTGCAATTTATTTTTGTTCTTTCCATAATCAACTACAAAAATTTCTTAATCAACTACAATATCGAAATCGACTACAAAAACTATTAAACCAACTAAAACAAATAGCACAATTCGAAACCAACTAAAACAAATAGCAGAATTCGAAAACAACTACAAAAGTGACGAAAACAACTATTTTCCTGTGCGAGATACCCAACCAATTTCAACAGTAAAAAAAAAAAAAACAGCAAAACGATGGTAGCATTAGAGGGAGATGACGGCGGCGTGGATACGTAAGCTAATGGCGTAATAAAAAACCTAATGATGAAATCGAAATCCTTGGTATCTCTAAACGCCAAAACTTTTGTAGATGTATGAGGGGGGCAATGTAGAGGCGGCTGTGCAGAGGTGGGGATCGATGACTGGGGAGAAAAGGGGAGAGAAAGAAAGAGAAGCGAGATAGAAGTGACGGCTGGTGGATTAAAAATGAAGAATGAATTAGATAAATAGAGTTTGGTGTTTTTATGAAGTAATTAAGCGTATTATAGACATACCATATAAAATTTAGATATAGGCTAAATTAAAATATGAATAAGGTGGTTCTCACTAATATGCAAAATGAGGGTATATCCAACCTAATATAACTAAATGTTTTAGGGGGTTTCACTAATTATCCCCATTTTAAATCCGCTGCCCTGCCCGCTTGTAATGACAACGAAACAAAAATTGAAGGCAAACCTTTCCAACGCATGATACAAAACAATTCAAAAGTCATCATTACCAAAACAATACAAAACAACAAAAGAAAAAAATGTTTGTCACTCCATTGCAAAGTACATCATTGTGTTAGTATATTGCAATCTTGAAACTTTGTGAGACCAAATAATTATAGCTTCAACTGCAACGCACATGTATGTATAATCAATCAACCCATAAAAGAAAAGAAGATAAAATGAATCGAAGATGAACATCTATAAATATTTACGAGGTTAAATTATGTTCAAGGGGCCGTCAAAATTGTGTCACTGATCATAAAAACTTGTCTCCCAGCATCTGATTTGAAGGGGACGCAAAATGTCGATTGAATGTATCTTCTGCATATCAGTTGATGAAATCAGCGCCGATCCATTCACCAATCAGAGCCTCTGTACACTCGACATGCAGTGGTCCTTTTATACGACTAATAAGTTGATGAAGAGGAATATTAAGATCAATATTGAGATCTCAATTAACAACTTAGGTCCAGTCGCTTGTTTATTAACCCAATACTGCCACCTGTAAGTTCAACCAGTAGATAGCCGCTGATAAAGCCTGCTAAGCATTACCACCGTATTACGGATGGTGACTAGATAAATATACCCACATAACCAACCGAAAAAAGACACACAATTCATATCAAGTGATGAATGTTCGTTCTTGGCCCAGGTAACAATTTCAGAAAGCTATAATTTCTAACTGAGTACCAGTAAACCTACTTCGCAACTACATATTGTATCATTAGTTAGGCATTTATGAAAATACAAAAAATAGACTCACCAACTGCCTTCGGTAGATGCGTTATTTTCGTCAACTAGTCCCTCCTCAAATTCCTCTAGTATAGCACGTTGTCTTTCAGTTACAGTACTGTAGAAAAGGGGTTTACAGTAAAAAGGGTACACCTTAATCAAGAGTTACCTTTTACATATTCTTCAAGACACAAACTAAGAAGGCAAAGAGAAGGAAAAAACTTACGAAGGAAATTTTATGCAGAAGCGCACGTACTGATCTCCATGGTTGGATAAAAAACCACTCTTTGGTAATCCTTTAGTACATTATGTCTATTAGCGAACTTAGAAAGATACAGGATAAGGCACAGCAGATTAGGATAAGGTTCATACCTTTGCCTCTTAGCAATACCAATTGCCCATGTTGAACCCCCTTGGGTATCTGTAATGACCACAACATCCAAAAAAGACGAGTTCAAAGATACTATGCAATATTCTCAAGTACTGATAGGCTAGAGCAGAAACTTTCACCTCAATTAAATCTAAACAAAAAAAGAATGTTTGTTCTGTATAGGATAAATAAATAACTCCAGTATGCTTGGATCCAAGGACCCACTCATCGTACAGTTACTTTTAATGTTGAGAAACACATAATCGTAAACAGATGAAAATGAGAGTAACTGTTCGATAAATATGTTAAATGAAACTCAGAAGAGCCAAGCTGGAAGGCAATGTTAAATGACACAACATAAAGTGCGGGATTACAAACGGAAGAGAATTTTCGTACTCGCAGTTGCATCATCCCAGAAAGTGTAGATACATCAACGCTACCGCCAAGAATGGCCTGTTACAAGTACCAAAATCAAACAACATAATTGAATTTTCTGCCTCCATCACTAATTAAACTGAATGAGATGAGGTTCTCACTTGTGTAAAGCTAATATGAGAGTCCACATAAAGGTCAGCACCTTGTCGCGAAAATATATGATCTTCTGCTACCTGGATAGAATATTAAAAACTACCATAATGAATCATGGGAGTGCAAATGAGAGAACAACAATAATTCTATGTTTGGCTAACACGATACTAACAAGTTAAGCATATAAATGTGGTATCAGATTGCGATGGCATATCATATTCTAACCAACATAGTTGCTGTCTGCCTTGAATGATTTTGCTTAAAAGCATCAGCAAGCTAATTTATATTATAATGAATATCTGGTTCTCAAAGATAAGAGTAACCATCAATCTGAATAATAAAGAAAAATGAAAATTTGAATTAACATTACAAAATATACAAACATATCAAAAACTATGCTCAAAGCAATCAGTTAACTTGAAGGATTTTCCTGTATATATCTCTTGAAGAAATATATCTTTTCTTTTACCAAGAAAAGTTGGAAATGCAAGAATTTGAAGCGGTAAAAATCAGATTGATGGAAAAGAATTTCAAACAGAAGAGAGAGAGCTAGAGAATAATGTTTGCCTTTAGCTTTATAAACAGGTTGCCAGAAGACCTTCCCCATCCACCAGAGTTACCAGCTTTTGGTACACGAATGGTATCACCAGAATCCACACCTAATCAAATATCAATTGCAAATACGAAACAAGCCAGTGAATGAATAGGCACTGTGGAACTTTGCAATAATAGTATAATTTCAAAAATTAAAAGCGACAGGGTGGATAGATAACCAAAAGCCAAAGTTACCAAAAGACAACAAACACCTATTTTAAACTAGATCATTCAAAAACTTAATGCATAAATCATATATCATATTTACCATCGCAGGTGTACTAATGGTAAGTTTCTCCAATTCATTCTTGTATATTTTAAGAACCCTTTATCTCCATAACTATAAAGACTACGCAACTTTGCATTTCTAGTAGAAAGCAAGCATCGATACTACTTTTCTCCATTATGTCAACGAGAATATCATAAAATTGCAAAAAAGAAAAAAAAAAAAAAAAAATGGGAAGGAAGGACAATCAAACAAGCTTATAGCTTATCAACTTGAGAACACATATCGAAAATAACCTGCTGGTATAGTTACTTTAACTTCCCTCACTCCTGCGCACACCCCTGATCCTTTGCATGCCAAACAGTATTCCTAAACATGTTTTTTTTTTCTTTCAGATAGCGAACATATATTGAAAATATACTGATCAAATAAAAATTGAAACTGTACCTTAACAATTCGTCCAAACCCTTTACAACTACTGCAGGTTGTGGTAAATGGCGGTATAGTTACCTAATACAACAATAAAAAGTTAAAATAATAGCTATGAGTAAATATTTATATTTCTGATATTCTAAATGACATAATGTATGGTGAAAAGAAAAATGCATGGATTTATCAAAGGATACTCACTCTTCCGATGCCTTTACAAATAGGACAATTTTTTGTCTCAACGTCTAACGGATGGCCTCGACCATCTGCATGATGATATATGAAAGAGAACGTCTCAGATTCAACAGAAGAAATTATACTAATAATTAATTCACAAATTCTAATCGAATTTATATCAACCATATAAATCACGGGAGACTATGGAAAGTAAGATGTAAAGTTTGTTTCTCTTAATGATTTTTCATGAATTTTTAATCCTGTTATAAAAACCCTGGTCATAGAGATCCTTCGTTTTCCTTACGATCAAAGTAAGCTTCAATATTGGTCCACTAGACGTTTCTTCAGTTATTCATTTTCTAATTAGCATTATAATTTGAGAAATCTCACCTGTACAAATAGGAGTATTCGTCGTGCAAATAATTTACATGCAACTCTGCTCAACCTTTTTAATTCAAGAAGGTTGTGTTACTGGATAACAATTAATGACTTTTTTTACAGGGAACATAATAAATTCTCCAAAAACCGACGTCTCAACATATGAAGCTTTCTTTCAACTTCTCTCAGTTTTAAACCATATTCTATTATTAGCTATGAAGCTCTCCATCACTATGTTGTTTTCCACATTCTTAGCTATCTTAAGCGTTTGATGATTAAACTACCAATGGCAATTGCTTAAGGCAAAAAGTGATTGTTTTTAGTAGAATTCGAAAGAGTATAAGCTTAAATCTACACCACCACAAATACATGAAGACCTGGAGCAAAATATTTCTGACATAAACTGATTAACAAAACATTAACGCCAATATTTTTTATACATGGAAATTTCTCTTAACGAAGGCAAAGGTGGGTTACTTCACTTTGAAACATTACAAATACATGATGGATCGAAAGAAAATTATCCTAGATTAAGCATGCAAGAGATCAGAACATCACTGCAAGTTCGCATCGTAAAGGAAAAGAGACAGAAATTTAAGCGCAGAAATAATAGTTTATGATGGCTTAGATTACTTATCAAACAAGTTCCCAGTGGATATATAACAAATTCTCCTGAAATATTAATTATCCTTGAAAATTATCTCTTCAGAAACTTAGTAAGACTGATAATAGAGAACATTAAATGATCAAATAAGAGAAAGACGGTGGAGAAATATGTTTGGTAGCATATTGATCTAATAAAGAGATTCAAAGGGAGAAGAAAGAAAATAAAACAACCCTTAAGGACGAGTTTCACATCATTTAGCATAAATATATAACACATGATCTCAAAAGTAACTAAATGTATTAATGATTATTTTATCAATCATCAACATTATTTTTTACCTAGATAATTTTTAAACGCTTGATGAGATATTCAGGCTTGTTCTGGTAGTATATATGTAATAATATGCTAGGAAATGTTTTGTGCTTACAGCAACTAGGAAAAATAATTATTCAGAATCACTTCAGTTTCATACTTACAGCAAGAATCGCATGGCACATCTGCATCGAACGACAAATCTTTTGTGCATCCTTTTGCAGCTTCAGGAAATGTTAGCATAAGATCCACCTGTGGTCCAAACAGAAACTCAAGTATAAGCTTCACTTCTCAAACCTCAAAAAATAAATCAAATGTGACAGCTTATAATGGCAGGAAATAAGTGGTTAACCTGAATATCACGACCCAGATATTCGCTATCATTTTCAAAAATCTGTAAAATTCCAGAAAAAGAGAAAGGAAAAAAAAAACTTAATAAAACAGTAAGTTCTCCAATATCTTATAATAAATACCACAAGGATTAAAGTACCTCAGAAAAGATTTTGTGAAATGAATCAGAGAACTGAGCTCCGTGAGCATCTCTGCCTCTGAAGTGATCCCAGTCCCGGCTTCGATGTTCGGCATTGTTAGTCTTTCTTGAACTATCTCTCATCTGTTACAAAGATTATTTCACTAGTCAAAATATTTATGCCAATTATCAAACGCCAGCAACATTTTAATTCAAATAATGCAGCATAAACGCGAAAAAAGAATCTAAGAAAATCCAACAAAAAAGAACAAGTACTCCACCTTGTCATACTGTTTCTTCTTTTCAGGATCTTGCAAAATCTGGAATTACCTTACACAATAAAAATGAAACGATAGGCAATCATTATAGAAAACAAATGCAAGGAACTAAGGGACGTACTTAGTGAAAGAAAAGGTCATGTCACGAATACTGACAGACCTCATACGCATCTCTTATCTCTTGAAATTTCCTCTTTGCAGAAGGATTATTCTTGTTGGCATCAGGATGGTACTTCTTAGCAAGCTAAAGAACAAATCAAATATGTAAACATCCCCAAAATTGGCAATCGACGTAAAAATCGAATAGATCAAATCATTTCTGTAGGCCTTGATGGGAGCTAAGATTAGGTTACAAATCAAATATTTGGGGTTTAAATACACATTGAAAGCACAACAAAATCATCCTATCGAGAAATAGAATGTTTAAGCTTAGCATGTCCATCAAGCGATCTAAGAAAAAGATTCATACGAAATAAATAGGATCGTACTTACACCATGAAAAGCCTTCTTAATTTCATCCCGATTGGAATCCTTAGAAATGCCGAGAATCTCATAGTAATCATGTTCCAAAGAAAAACGATCTCCTGTCAAATAGAATAACAGCAACAGAACTACCATAAGACATTATTAACTAACTACACACAAAATAAAAAAGAAAAAATAAAAGAAAAAAGAAAAATAAAAAATCTGTCTTGAATTTGGGAGGCAGTGCACCTGTGGCGTGGACAAAGCGTTTAGATGATGATAGCAGCTGATAAGGAGCCAAACCAACATGTTTCCCCATATAATTGTAACAAGGAATGGCTGCTGAAATATTAATATCAGTATTTCTCTACATACATACATAATTCTCTCGCTTGCAATAACAATAAGATATAATAAAGAACTTACTTCGAGAATGGATGAATGCCCGTTGAATTTGGTAAACCTCCCCGCATATGACGGCATTGGATGATTGTACAGAAATTGTGTGCTGCCAGAAGAGGAGAGAAAATAATAAGATTGAAATGTTTAAATTGATAAACACACTAAAAAAAAAAAAGAAAAAAAGGAATTCTATGAAATTTTTACCTGAAATTTATTCAGGGAAAACGCAAGGCATCTTAATCGGCGCATTCTGCACAAGAAAATCAGATGAAACGAAACAATAATGATTTTGACACTTAGACGGGGTTTTTCAGAGAGAGAGAGAGAGGCTTTCCCTGTCCCTAGGGGTGGAAATCGGACGGATCGGATCGGATTTGGGTGTTTCGGAAAATTTCCGATTTTTTTCGGAAGTCCAAAACGCCTTCCGATTCCGATTTTTTCGGAATTTTCGGAAAATCGGATTTTTTGGAAATTTTCATTTTCGGAAAATTTTCGGAATTCTTTAGGAATTGTTCGGGAATTTTTACAAAAAAAAAAAGGGAAAAATTGATCACCACACAGTAGCCAAATTGCAAAAAGAAACATCAAACAAGTAAACAGTAGCCAAATTGCAAAAAGAAACATCAAACAAGTAATCTTCACAAATACAAGAGGCTCACACAAATACGTTGGTGGTGGTCGTCGCAGAGCCGGGAGGCGCTGGTGGTGGTGGTCTTCAGAGAGCCGGGAGGCCTGGTGACGATGGTGGTGGTTGGAGAATCGGGAGGCGCAAGTGGTGGTGGTGGTCGGAGAATTGGGAGGCGCTGGTGGTGGTGGTGGTCGTCGGAGAGCCGAGATTCGCTAGTGAAGATGGTCGTCGGAGAATCGGGAGGCACTGGTGGTCGTGGTCGTCGGAGAAGGCGCGGGTGGTGGTGGGGAGAAAGAAAGGTCGATGACTGCTGTTAGAGAGAGAGTCGGGAAATTAGTAATTCTAAGGGTAAATTCCATTTTACCCCCTTCACTTTGGCTGGATATCACTTTACCCTCTTGTATTCTCAATTGCATCGATTTGTCTCCTTGTACCTTGGTTCAATTTCACTTTATCCATTATACTCTCAATTCATCGATTTGCCCCTTGTACTTTGGCTCGATATTACTTTACCCCATTCTACTCCAATTGCATCGATTTGCCCCCTGTAATTGAAACATTATCTCAATGTGGCCCTCGGCGTTAGTTTTCCGACATTTGATCTTAACACCGTCTGATCTAAGTTTGAAAATTACAAAAAAACCACCCCTCCCAATTTAAATAATTATTAATAGAAAAACAAAAAATTGTGCCTGGCGTCGTGGACTATGTTTTCTCGCTGTCTTGAATTTTTTATTATTTTATTTTTTGTTGTTTTTTTTTTTTTTTTTTAATAATTACTTAAACTGGAAGTGGTGACATTTTAGTAATTTTCATACTTAAATCAAACGGTGTTAAGGTGAGACGTCTGAAAACAAACGGCGAGGGCCACATTTAGACAATTTTTCAAGTAAGGGGGGCAAATCGATGCAATTGAGAGTGGAAGAGGTAAAGTGATATCGAGCCAAAGTACAAGGGGGTAAATCGATGAATTGAGAGTCGAAGGGGGTAAAGTGATATCGAACCAAAGTACAATGGGGCAAATCGATGCAATTGAGAGTACAAGGGGGTAAAGTGATATCCAGCCAAAGTACAAAAGGTAAAGTGGAATTTACCCTAATTCTAATAAATTTTGAGTTTTGACTTTTTAATGTTTTAGAAACTTAAAAAATAATATATATATATATATATATATATATATATATATATATATATATATATATATATATATATATATATATATATATATATATATATATATATATATATATATATATATATATATATATATATATATATATATATATATATATATATATATATATATATATATATATATATACTAGTGATGAAGCACCGCGCAAGGCGCGGTGCCCGGTCAATTTATTCGATCGATCAATACTTAAAAGAGGAAAAATTGGCAGCAGGCAAAGGTGAAGGAGATTCTTTTGATTTCACTCCTATCTGTATTGCAGTACTTTTCAGCACATGATATAGAGACTATGTAAGTAAACATAATAATGTCATTAGTATTTGTTTTGTGATTTAATAACGAGAGAAATTCAAACGAAAATACAGAACTTAATTATAAAAAAACTTGGTCATATAAGCAAATATTTTCATGAACCGACATTATAAGGGGTATTTGTCCTCGTATTTTTAGGATCACTCTCTCCATAACCAGGTATGCCGAATGAAACAACATACACTCCCTTCGCTTTCAACAATTTCCTGAAAATCAAACGAGTTCAAACATTAATTTATCACTAACGAGCACAGAAAAAGCCATTAGGCAATGTAATGGAAAAAAAAATTCCGGAGAGAGAAGTGCGGTTATAGCAGAGGCATCGTGCCTGCAAGAATCGAATCCATGGACAAATACGATTTTGTGCTTTACGTTATCTTTTGGGAGACCATATTATTTGTAAGCTAAGTGTCTTCCATCTTTGAGCTGTATTCTTGATATTGTAATTGTTGACCCGTTTTTGGAGCCGCACGTGTTTGGTGGAGGAAGCTGTGTTGCGAAGAAGCCCACAAAGCAAACCAATAGAATTTTCTTGAATATCCCTGAAACAATTTTTTTATTTTTATTCTGATGAATCCAATAAAATACAATGCTTCCGCCAATACTACAAATGCAGAATTCAACCCTTTTCAATGACAAAAGTGCTACACAAATAGCCTGATAAAATTGAAGTCAGCTCATCAGCATTAGTTGAAGAATTTAATCACTCACTCTTCAAGAGAAAAACAGATCATGCGAATGGAAATGAATAGGGTTATCGATGTCAATCAAATGCAGAGGAAATTAAAAAGAAACAGCAACACTATTGTTTTTGCACGAATTAGCCAAAACCTCGAATTGAATCCTAACAGCATCGAAGCCTATATAAGTTAGTTCTGTCTGAAACTATTTAATCAGACGAAATATGTACTAAAAGTTTACGTCAACACCAGATTCCGAACTTCTCTTTTGTTCATCTCGGAACAATTCATCGTCCTCATCGCCGCTGCTATTGCTGACTCTCTCTTTTATTCCTCTGAGAACGATTCAGCCTATATAAGGAATACCACAGATACAGTTTACGGCAAGGGAGTACATACCTCTTCACGTAACAGCCCTGGGACTAAAGCATAAACCTCGAAACAATCTTTTTGCAAATTAAAACGGTCAATTTTCTTAGTGCATGTGAGTTAATCTTCACCCAATCAGCCGGAGGTCCAACACATCAACAACTGATGTTACCAATCCACAAAAAAAAAAGAGCAATTCATAAAATTTCAATTGCTAATAAAAATTGAAATATGAATGGAAACCGTGCACCAGATAGGACTTAAAAGGAATAGCCGAAACAAACATATAGCATGTTTTCTATGTACAAAGTTTTAACCGTACTATAACCAGACTTAACTGCTTAAATGTTTCAGTTGGAGCTGCTTTATTTGAATGCTCCACATCGTTTGGTCTCTTCTGTTTGAGGGAGAGTGATGAACATGCCAGATACAGAATGAGCCAAGAAAGTAAAGTCAATTCATATTCTAAAGGCTAAAATGGAACATAACTCGCCAACACCTGCATTTTCAAAGATGTTAATGTGAAGAGGATCAAATACATCAAAATATTTTAACGAAAGTTAGCTTACCAATTCTTCTAAAAGTTCTCACGCTTTTCCATTGTGTTGCAACAAGTGGATCGGGACAACCTCAAGTTTAAGAAACCTGCAAGTAATAACATAATCAGTGTTAGAATTCAGTCATTATACGCAAAAGTATTACTGGTCAACAATCTTTCACATAAATGCAGACAAATGAACAGTATAAAATTCTAGATCATGCCACTACCCGATAATATAAACAATTATGAATTTCCATTATTATACCTTCCTAATTCATAATAGAAATTCATAATTGTTTATACAGGGATGTGGAAGCATTTGATTGATCTGCATACAAAGACAAGAAGGTAAACAATACAAATTAAAGGTACACTGAGGTTCCATTAGATAAACTGCAACGGCAAAACATTGTTTTGGTTATAACAATTTATAATACCTAAATCCAGTTAAGAAAATGTTAATTAGCAATCACAATCATGAGGCTAAAATAGCAGGGGTTGCATAGAAGAATGACCACCACCTCAACAGCTTCTATGTACTCCAACGGGGAGTTCCATCAACAATTAACCACCAGCAAGATATGAAACCTCAAAGATAAAACATAAAATAAATCCATCGCCCCAAGAAAAAATCACCCCAATCAACACTGAGTAGCCCACAAATAGAGAGATGTGCAAGATGCCAAATTAGACGAAGTAGGGGTAGGATTAGGGTTGATTGCATACCTGGTAACCGAGAGTTGTGGTTGCTTCATCAAGCGTTGCTTCTAAAATAAAATCGAATCAATACCAATGCATAAAAATTGGGAGAACTGGAGAAAAAGAAGAGGAGGATGAAAATAAAATCAGTACCTATGGCTGAGAAATTGGGTTGGAGAAAAGGGGTGGGCACTGTCATATCCTGGAAGCCTTTAATGGCGAATTATGGTGAGAAATTGAAGAATTGGGGGGCGAAGAAGAAGCGCAGTGCTAGGGCTACGGCCAGACTGCCGGAAAAGGAGGCGGATTTGGGTGATTGGGGTGGAAAAGGGAGGAGGAAACCTAGAAGTGGTAAAGGTGTGATCTTTGGATCTGGAGGAATTGGGAATACGATGTTGACTGTGATTGAGGATGGAAACGACGTCGCTGGAGAAGTTTAACAATTGGGCCGAGATTACAACTTTATTACGTTTGTTGGGCCGGAGATTATAATTAACGGGCTCAAGTTTTATTTACGTTTTTAGCAGTTTCTTTTATTAATGGGCTGAAGTAGGAAATGCCTTTACTTTTTGTTATTACTATAAATGTACTGAGAACCCTAAATTGGAAAGCAATTCAGATTTGGAAACTATTCTCCCTACCTTTATTTCTTCTGCCTCTCACCTACTTTCTTCTTTCTCAAGCTGCTTTCTTATTATCATATTATTACTTTACTGAAATCAATACATATAAATAATATATATTATATCAAGGATTTGACAATTGGCTACCAGAGCAAGGTTTTTACACAATCAACACAACAGAGGGACATTCATCATGGCAGAAGGCACTAGAGCAAAGGATCAACTGGAAACACAAAAAAAATTGGTGGAACAGAGGATTCAAGAGGAGATGGGGAAAAGGCAGGCAGTAGAGATGAACCTTCAGGAGCAGATCCACCAAAATCAGCTCAGGGCTGAGAAATCTTTTGAGAACCTGCAGATCCAACTAGCCAAGATTGCAGAAAGAATGGAGGTTTATCATAGGGATAAATCCATTATGGGGGAGGGCTCATCTGCAGGTAATGGTTCATTCCCACCTCATATTCAGCATGAGAATATGAACAGGACTTTTCAGGAATCCAGATCCAACAGAAACAATGATCAAATAGGACATTCAGATCCTTTTGCTGGAAATTTCAACCCAAACCCTAGACTGGAATTTCCTAGATTTGATGGGACAAACCCTAGATCCTGGTTATTCAAATGCCAAGGATATTTTCAGCTAGTTACTAACCTCACTGAGAAACAGAAAGTAACACTAGCTGGTTTGAATTTTGAAGGGAGGGCAGCAGTTTGGTTTAGCCATCTGCTGCAACAGGGCAGTGACTACACTTGGGATCAGTTTGTAGGGTTGGTGGCTGCAAGATTTGAAGAGCTGAAAGAGGCTAAGGTTCTGTCTGAGCTGATGAAGTTGAAGGTCACTACATCTTTGGAGGATTATATCAGTAGGTTTGAGGAGCTCAAATCTTACTTGATGATGTTTAACACTAGGGTGTATGATGAGGAGTTTTTTATGACATGCTTTGAGAGTGGCTTACCTGAAGACAATCAGCAGTTTTCCTCCCTTTTTGAAGCAAAAAATTTGCAACAGGCCTTTGACCAAACCAGGAAACAAGAAGCACTACTGGAGGCTATTGCAAAGAGGGGGAAATTACACTCCAAACCAATGACTTCACAGGCTTTTCAGCCCAAGAGGTTACTGCAACACAATCATCAAAACACACAGACTGCCTTAGTCAAGGCTAACCCAACTCAAGCTAATCACCCTCCAAGGAAGAACCTCACATTATCAGAGATGAGGGCTAGGAGGGAGAAGGGGTTGTGTTTTAATTGTGATGAACAATACCAACCAGGCCACAAGTGCAAGTATACTCAGTTGTACATGGTGATGACTAGTGCTGAAGAGGAGGCTCATTTGTTGGCCATGAGTAGCATGGAACAAGTTGAGAATGAGGAACAAATGGAAAATGTTGAAGTGTCCTTAAATGCCATTGCAGGGCAGAGTGGGGCAAGGACAATTAAGGTACAAGGAGAGTTAGAAAAAGGGGCTATCAAGATCCTCATTGACACAGGGAGCACTCACAGCTTTATCTGTGAGCAGTTGGCACAACAACTCAATTGTGTCACCACAGAGGCTAAACCCATGCTGGTTACAGTTGCAAATGGGGGAAAAATGATGAGTAGACAGGTGGTAGAAGGACTTAAATGGTGGATTCAAGGGGAGCCTTTCTCTTTTCCTCTGAGGTTGCTGAAACTTGGGGGTTATCACATCATTTTAGGGTGTGACTGGCTGTGGGAAAACAGCCCAGTGAAGTTTGATTACAAGAGAAGGTTCATTAAAATCAGGAGGGGGGAGCAGAAATTGCTCATTACTGCAGAAGAAGAGGGTAATGAGAGTCAGTTGCTATCCCTAACTCCTATGGAGAAAATTGGGCCCTACACCCCCAGCTTACAACTGTCAGTTCCTACTGAGATAGCAGAATTACTGAAGCAATTTGAGGAACTATTCTTAGAACCACAAGGACTGCCCCCTATCAGAGGAACAGAACATCAGATCATTCTCAAGCCTGATGCTGTTCCAAAGCAATTATGCCCCTACAGATACTCACATTCATCAAAAAATGAGATAGAGAGCATAGTGGAAGAGTTGTTAAGAAATGGGACAATAAGGAACAGCCAGAGCCCTTTTGCTTCCCCAGTCCTGTTAGTTAAAAAAAAGGACCTGACCTGGAGGATGTGTGTTGATTACATGTACCTAAACACTATGACTGTCAAACATGACTATCCCATCCCTGTGATAGATGAACTATTGGATGAGCTGAATGGTCCAAAATGGTTTACCAAAATGAATGGATGAGCTAACCATTCTTCCTCTCCTTTTGGAATTAGCTTGTGCTAAGCATTCTTACTTCCTTTTGGCATTAGCTTCGAGCTAAGCATTCTTACTTTCTTTTTTGCATTAGCTTCGAGCTAAGCAATATTACTTTCCTTTTGGCATTAGCTTTGAACAATACATTGTTATTCTCCTTATGAAATTAGCTTGTGCTAAGCATGCTTACTTTATTTTTGGCATTAGGTTTGAGCTAAACATTATTCTTCTCCTTATGGAATTAGCTTGTGCCAAGCATTCTTAATCTCCTTTTGGCATTAGCTTCGAGCTAAGCATACTTACTTTCCTTTTGGCCTTAGCTTCAAGCCAAGTATTGTTCTTTTCCTTATGGAATTAGCTTGTCGTAATGATTCTTACATTCCTTTTGGCATTAGTTTCGAGCTAAGGATTCTTACTTTCCTTATTGCATTAACTTCGAGCTATGCATTATTCTTCTCCTTATGGAATTAACTTGTGCTAAGCATTCTTATTTTCCTTTTGCCATTAGCTTCCAGCTTAGCATGATTACTATTCTTTTGGCAGTAGCGTTGAATAAGCATTATTCCTCTCCTTATGGATATAGCTTGTGCTAAGCATTCTTACTTTCCTTTTGACATTAGCTGGTAGCTAAGTATTCTTACTTTGCTTTTGAGATTATCTTTTACCCAAGCATTCTTACTTTCCTTTTGGCATTGGCTTAAAGCTATGTATTATTCCGCTCCTTATGGAATTCGCTTGTGCTATGCATCCTTACATTTCTTTTGAGGATTTGCTACGAGCTAATCATTACTCCTCTCCTAATGGAATTAGCTTGTGCTAAGAATTCTTACTTTAGTTTTGGCCTTAAGTTGGAGCTAAACATTATTCCTCTTTTTATGGAATTAGCTAAGTATTCTTACGTTCTTTTGGCATTAGCTTCGAACTATGCATTGTTTCTCTCCTTATGGAATTAGCTTGTACTAAGCATTTTTACTTTCCTTTGGCATTCGCTCCAAGCTAAGCATTATTCCCCTTCTTATGGAATTAGCTTGTGTTAAGCATTCTTACTTTACTTTTGGCATTAGCTTCTAGCTAAGCATTACTCCTCTTCTTATGGAATTAGCTTGAGCTAAGCATTCTTACTTTCCTTTTGACATTAGCTTTTATCTAAGTATTACTACTTTCCTTTTGGCATTGGCTTAATGCTAAGTATTATTCCAATCCTTAAGGAATTAGCTTTTGCTAATTATTTTTACTTTCTTTTTGGCATTAGCTTGGACCTAAGCATTATTACTTTCATTTTGGCATTAGCTTGGAGCTAAGCATTGATCCTCTCCATATGAAATTAGTTTGTGCTAAGCATTGTTACTTTCCTTTTGGCATTACCTTTGATCTAAGCATTCTAATATTCCGTTAAGCCTTCTTGTATTGCGATCTGGGGGTCTTATAGAAGGCTTTTTTGGTCAAGACCCAGATCGCGATCCAGCCTTCGTGTATCGCGATCAGGGGGTCTTACAGAAGATTTTTTGATCATGAACTAGATCGCGATCCACCATTCCCGTATCACGATCTGGCAAGGCGGTGCGCAGTTTCCAAGGCTGCCAGATCGCAATCTAAGAAGCCCATATCGCGATCTGGGCACATAATTCGAAACCAGATACTTTTCTTTGATTTCTTACTATATATAGAAGGTCTCTTCTTCATTTTTAGATCTCAGGACCTCTTATTTTATTTTTTTTAGGTTTTCGCCAGTTCATCGTGGGAAGCTTCGACGAGGGTTTTGACTCGGGTTTTTCATAAGCTTTTCTTTACGTTTAGTTTATGATTTCTCGTGTTCTTCATTTTGATGCTATGTTTGTAATGAACTGAACATTTTATTTTAGGGAAATTAAACCTTGTATGTATTGATTTTGATTTCCAGATCTATGAGCTATTTTTCGTTCTTTGGTTATGATTATGTTTTCATTTATTAAATGCTTTCAATTGTTTGGCCAACAGTTGAATTGATTGTAAATGGGAATGAACTCAAGAGAGAATTTCTCGTTTGATTTTAGGAAAACATAGCTCGGGTTGTGGAAACAGAGACGTGATTCACCTCGGGTAGCCCTTAAGGACTTGACCTAAATGATCTCTTAATATCAGGTTCTGAACGGAGACGTCGGACCTATGGGTAGACTCTAACTACACTAGAGACGGGGGTTAGGGTATTTTAGTGTATGGGTTAGAGAATATTGAACTGACATTAGATTCAGATTTGTATATCTTTATCGATACTACACTGGTGGATTTTACGGTAGAAGCCATCACACGTCGGAATTCTTCGTTTGTCCTGGCGGACTGTGTTTTTATTTTTGTTTCCTTTTAGCTTCATTTTATCCCCCATTCGTTCATTTGTCTAAATAAAGTTTAGGATAGTATAATTACGCTACTTGGTAGATTTAGGAACTTAATTCCCTGTGGATCGATATCTGGAATTCACTATTCTACAAAACGCGATACTTTACACTTGTGTTTTTTCACACGTAGGTTTTACGTGTATCAAGTTTTTGGCGCCATTGCCGGGGAATTAGTTAATCTTGAAATTACTAATATCGTTACCAACTACCCTTTCTTTAATTTATACATTTTTTTGTTTTCATTATTTTTGCTTTGATTTTTTTCATTTGTTTTACAGATTTTTATCCTTGATGGCCTCTATTTATGATCTCTCTCTTTGCGAGCTTCAATCCAGAGCAGATTACATTCAACAAGAGTTGAAGGATATTGAAAGACATGGAATGTTCAACCTAGAAAATGGAATTGCACAGACAAATGAGCACTTGTGCTATTTACAAGAACAACTCCACTATCTGGCAAATCTTTTCGAAAATTTTCAGAGATGTCACAATCCCGAACCACATCCAACCATCCAATATGAACATAACGAGTTATTTACAGATTTTTGTTTGAACGATGAGGCTGAGTACCTTGAGGGAATTATTCATCCCAGTTATGTACATACTTTTGTGTGTGATGAGAGTGGGATAAAGATGATGGTAAATGCGGAATTTGACGAAGAAAATTCTATCCACATTGTAATTAACTCCGGATTTGATTGTGACCGAGGAGATGAGTATCAAATTTAAGGTAGAGCTTACTCCAAAGCTTGAATATCTCGTGTACGAGTTTGAGAGATCGGTAGGCAAGCAACTCATCCTAGTCTCCCACTGACTGATTTCCAAAGAAAAAGAAAAGTACCATGGGTTGGGATGGTAGTTACAATATTGCAGTCTAGTTCATGATATGATTGCAAGGTATGTATCAAGACTGATGGATGGATGCACAATCTATAAGGTTTTGGATTGGACATAATCCGTCCAAATTATGTCGAGCCGTCGACACTAACTTATTTTTCTTTTTGGTCTTTTGCATGCATATCATATAATTTAGTTTCATTTATGTATTTGGATTTCTGTTTTGGTGTTATGTTTGTCACATGCATTTCATATAAGATCGAGTGTAAGTTGCATTTCCGGATTCTATTGAAACAAAACAATTAATGAATTAGTAGAATGGATAGTTGATTTTAAAATTGAAGTTGTGCATAATCGGCAATTAATAGATGAACCTTCCGACTGCGTTTCTGCAACTTCTTTGGAGAGCCTTTCGAATCCTTTCCGATTGAGCATGATCGCACTTTTCTGAGGGGTATAATAGTCTGAGGTTTGGGGGTTGAGATAGAATTGAGTTATGCGTTCACGAATCGAGTTATTGGCTAAAATTTCAAAAAATGGTCTTGATGTTTTTATTTTATGTTATTGTGTTATTATAAAAAATGGTACTGTCGTGATTCACGCTCTCATTTCCCGGCCTCTCCAGCTTTCAAGCTTGGGGTTTTCCTGGACTAAAGTTCGATACATGGGTCAGAGAGATGACACAGTGGTATCGAGCCTTGCACGAGTCACGATTTTATCCCGTTTAAAAAAAAATTGTGATGAAAATCACCAAGAAAATGTTGTTGTCATTTTTCTATTGAATAAATAGACCTACTTATGTCCAATTCGAGTTTTTGAATTTCCGAATCAAAACTTACTTTTCATCCACATTTCTACTCAAAACCCTCGACGATTATGCTTATTGTTTGATTACGGATTCTTGAGTCTATCTAATATTTTGGTGTAGAAACAAGCTTCGGTAGGAAAGTTGAATATCTTAAGCTGTATGCTATTCCAAGATTTTAGGTTATCTAGCGCGTTTTATCTTTGGAATTAATTGTAGTGCTTTGACCAATCCGACAACTTTGTGGGTGTGTTGTCTGAAAACCCTCACGAGACACAACTCCTCCTTTGGGGGTACCCAGGGGTTCAAAGGCTTGTTGCATACGCTAAATGCAATCGTGGTTCCCTACGTTAGTGGCCTATATTTAGTTTTTTTTTTTTTTTTTATGTTGTTGTTTTGTTTTGATTTACTCGGGACGAGTAAAGATCTAAGTTTGAGGGTGTGATAAGTGTTCATTTTGCATGATTTTCACTTATCAATTCTTCGAGTTTTGGTCTTCGTTCGACCGAGTTTTTGGCTTTTTATTTGTATATATTATGTTGTTTTTGTTTTATTTATATTTTAGGTAACGAGAAGCTATTTTTTCCGATTCGAAACGCTTTTGGAAGCGAAGCCGGAAATCAAACCAAACACGTGCAAAAGTGGATTCTCGCGGATTGTGGCAGTGTTTGGTATTTCACGCATAACTCACTACAAGAAAACAGGGCTTCACCGACGGAAATTTATCGACTGCTTTCTTTGTCACTGTTGACCGACAGATTATCGACAATTTAGTGACAGAGTTGAATTTATTTGCGATGCATGTCGATTGGGTTGGCAATCTGTTGCTACCGTTACGACGAGGTCATATTCCATGGCTACATTGTTGCTGATGTTGCGATGGACTCTATGTGGTTGGTAAATCGTCACTTACTTTGTGTTCGATTCACATTTGGTCGGTATTCTATCGCTGAACTTAATATACAATTTTA